CTGGGGCCTCTGTGTCAGATGGGGGAAACTGCTCCAGCCTGGTCCTTGGGTACTGGTAAGCATCACCCAACTGAAGTGCACCTCCCCATTCCGTATTAATACCTTATTACACTGCTGCCTCAAGGCCAGGCCCTGGTCCCTGACAAGGGACGGGTTTTTATAGCCCTTCTGCAGTGATGCCCCAGTCTGAATGCTGACTGGTTGTTGTGACAGTGACATGAGGGGAGCACTGGGATTACCTTAACGGTGGCATCTGTAACCCGCAGTGGAAGCATAACGCACACGGAGCCGTCTGGCCTCATTTGCAGAGCGGATGGGAACCCTTTCAGGAGCAGCGTGTTTACAACCTTGCCCAGCAGGGCCTGTCACTGGTGGAGGAACAGGCTGCCGGTCGGCCTGGCTGACAAGCCAACACCATTTCAAAGCTGCATAGTGGGGGAGCTGCAGCTCTACAGGTACTAGGACCCAGAGTAGGAGGTACCAGATGGTTGAAACAAAAATACCAAACTCCCCTCTCCCTCAAAAAAAAATTCTGTTGAAGGGGAAAAAAAGGGGGGAGACCAAGGTTGAGCCAAAAAAAAGCATGTCCCCTTTAAGAGTGAGTGCAGGGATAGGAACAGGGAGCAGTTGAGCATTTGCCCTAGGTCTTTTGGCCAGCAGCCATTTTGTGCCAGCAGCCTTGGGGAATCAGGTAAGGCTGGGGTCAGGGGGCTGGGGGTATTGGGGACCAGGGGAAGGGGGAGGAGAAAGAGAGGCTGGGCGCTGAGTGTTTGTAGGGTTGCTTCCTCCTGGCCAAGGAAGAATTCAGAAAATACTGGACATCTCAGGTGTCCGGTATTCACTGCATTTTTTTTTTTAAACCGGACAGGAGGCAAAAATCCTGGACTGTCCGAGTGAATACCGGCCACCTGCAACCCTAACCCAGAGATGTTTCTGCCAAAGCTTCTGGGACAATATTTGCCAATTAAATTGCTGTGATTCCTTCCTGGCACCTGGGATCCTGCCTAGCAACCAGAACTGCCTGAAGGCTAACAGCATTGGAAAGGGCAGCAGCTCTGTGTGGAGGTAGATTCACACTGTAATGCAAGGCCACGCAGGGGGAGGAGAATTTGAGTCCAGCTTTGGACCCTTGCTCCGAGCCCTGAGTTAGCACAATTCATGTTCAGATGGAAGGGGAATTAGACCTGCTCCCAAATTTGAGCCCTGGGCTTACACTGCTGCGTAGACAGGACTGCCTTGCAGTTGATGGCTATGGAGCTGGGTGCAGCCTTAATTTAGCCCTGTTCTAATGCTAAATTTATTTCATTAATTTTGAGCCCATCCTGTTGACAAAAATGGGATTTTCTAATCTAAGTAAATCAATGTAGTGACAATTCCGATTCCATGTAAATTAGATTAGAAAATGGGATTTTCTAATCTAATTTACATGGAATCAGAATTGTCACTACATTGATTTACTTAAATTAGAATCCCATTGCCTCAAATCAGTCTTTTGATCCCAATTTTGCGTAGCTCAGGAAAACTTTTTAAAGCACATACCTTCATAACCCATGTTTTCAGGGCAGTATTGATTATGGCCCAGCCTCCTGGGTCATGGCTGAGAAAAGGCAGGCCAAATCTCAGCGAGTGGCACTATTAGCCCATGAGACTCGCCCCATGCCAGCAAGAGGTTGGACATATCCCCGCTCCCTATCCTTGGGAACAGCTGTGCTAGGCTAACTGCAGGCAGGAGGGAAACACCCATGCGTTAAAGAGAAATCGTTGTGACAAGGAAGAAACTGGCCAGGCAAGTTCAGCTTGCTAGGTTGTTTTTTTGTTGTTGGTCTTTTTTTTCCCCAATGGAAGATGTAATCAGAGTTACTGCTGAGGCCTGAATGAGAACGATGATGCACAGTAAATCTGGGAGAATCCAGCCTCCATCTACTAGACAGAGTGCACAATGGGACTGGGACTTTCCGCACTGCCGAGAGGCGCATCACCCGCGATGCAGCACCTCCGGTCCCATGACAGCGAGGGGCTAAACAGTTTAGAAGTCCACAGTCCCTAAGTTAGAAGTCATAAGGGGACAACTGCCCTGGGCCTTCCCAACTGCTGGCCAGCAGGAGAAAATGCTGCACAGGAGACAGACAGACACGGGCGGGGATATTTTATTAATTGGATACCCATGTGGACGCAGAGGCTGGACCCACAGCTCCTTAAGTGCAGGGGTTGGATATTCGGCCCATGAAGATGATGGTGTTGATGGTGGCCTCCCTGATGAACAGCAGGAAAGGCCTGTTCGCGTTAAAGATCATTTTGTTCATGGGAAACGAACGCCCCGAGATGACAACTGCGGTGGAAGCTGCTGCCTCGCTGCCTTCCTCATTCACCTGCCAACCAGACGGGAGATGGGATTAACGCACAGGAGAGAGGTGCACCCTGCAGCCCCCTCCCCCTTGCCTCCAGGCAGTAGGAGAGCCCAGACTGCTCCACATGGGTCCACAAGCACCTGCCACAGTTAAGGGAGGATTTCCAGGGATCAGTTTAGAAGGTTTTCCCCATTGGTTTCTGGCTCTCGAGCACAGAGAAGACTACCTGGGAGAAGGCCATTATACCAGGATAACCCCCGATGTAGCTGGACCAAAGAGGCCAGATTCTCAAACTCCTCTGTTTCCAGACTGAGGCGTTTGCTTCCCCCCGTGATTTCCAGCCTGCCCCGTATAGTCCCGTGCACGTTGGAGGGACCACCGCGTGCCTGAAAAACAGGCCTCCCAAACGAGCTTTGCTAGTCTCATCAATACACCGACAATCCCGCGTCAAGAACGGGAGGGACTCGTGCCCAGATCCTCAACGGTCCTTGGGCTCCTGCCTCCTGCTGGTCTCCGTGGGAGTTCAGCGCCTGAGAACTTCAGGATCTGGGCCCAGTAAAGGGGCGTAAGATGCAGCAAAGTTTAAATCCACAATGTTCGCTATGGAAACAAACCCAGCGTAAGGATCACTGGCTGAGCGATTCAGCGATGGGACTGGGCAGTATTAGCCAGCCAACCATGGATGAGCCATGACGGATCATATCCTTGGTGCTTCTCCAAATAACCCAGCCCACGGGGCCAACAGCATTGCCAAGGGTTAATACCGGCCTAGACCTGGGGTGAGCATTAACTGGCCCGGCTGCAGTTCCCGAGTTAGCCCCTGGTGGCCCACCAGGCGCTTTATTTACCAGTGTGTGTGGCGGTACGGCCGTTCCCGGCCAACGGGAGCTGCGGGAAGCCTTGTCTCGGCCCGCACCACTTCCCGCCGCTCCCATTGACCAGAAACGGCGATCCGCGGCCAGCGGCAGCTGTGAGCAACCAGACCTGAGGATGTGCTGGTAGATAAAGTGTTTGGTGGCCTGCCAGGGGCTAACTGTGTTCGCCTCATGGGCTGCTTATTGTCCATCCCTGGCCTAAACTGCTTCCTTAGACGTGCGCCTCGATTCTACCGTGGAAGCAAGGCCGGGGGCACCACACCAGTGTGGGTGCCACACCAGGGTAGCCGCCCCCAGCGTTCTTAGCACAACGTCGTCCTACTCAGCACCGCTCTGGTCTACCCAAATGACTTAAAATGCTGGCGGCCAACCTCTCCTTGGCTGCAGGGGAGCTGCTGCTGCTCCCCCGGACTCTCCCTGGGACGGGGCTATTGTAAACAAAGGCTCCAGTGCAGCCAGTGCCCAGAGAAAGGGGCAGGAATTTTTACGGGAGATCGGGGCAGTGAAGCTGCAAGGACCCGATTCTGCAGAGACGTTCACGTGGGCGGAGACGTAACTTTGTGCATTGAAAGTGGCGCCTTCGACTTCACCAGAGACGCGCATGCCGGCTCCTGCAGCTGCTCAGCGCACCAGCTCGGTGCTCGGAGCCCCCCCCCCCCCCCAGCCACTTCACGAAGCAGAGCTGGTGGACTGGAGCAGCATCACCCCACTGTGCTGCTGATGGGGGAGGCGAAAGCTGGGGGCCCCAAGGCCCTTTTAAACCACTTAGGGGCAGCAAGAGAGGCTGAGAGACTCTTCAGGGGAGGCCTGCGGGGGCAGCAGATGGGTCCGGGAGAGAGATCCAGCCCTGAACATTGGTGGAGGTAGGCCCCTGAACATTCCTGGAACCCAGGCACCACGGGCCCACACAACCCGCCAGCTGTGGCCACAGACTAGAACCTAGAAGTCACAGGATTAGATCAGAGGTGGGGGGGGGGGGGGGGGGGGGAGTGTG